GGAGGGTGGAAAGGGAAGGAGAAAGGAAATACGGGGATGGGGCGGGAAGAGGGGAGTAAGAAAAATGGTTTTTTAGCGAATTATGGCATGCAAATATTATTATATTGAAGGGTATGGTTTTTTTTTAGACTGCTTCTTCAGATTTGTTTTGGTCTGGCTGTTGTCAATGTCACCGCTGTTGCTGTTGCTGTTACCGTTGTTGTTGCCGTTGTTGTTGTTGTTGTTGTTGCTGTTGCTGTTGCTGTTGCCGTTGCTGTTGTGGTTATTGTTATTATTGCTTGCTGATGTGGTTGTTGTTTTTGTTGTTTTTGAAACGGTTTTTAAGTGGAGGAGAATTTTTTTTTTTTCCAATTATATACGTATTTGGTTTTGCTAATAAACATATGTATTTACATTGAAAGTCAGACAGCATTAAAACGCAAAAAAATGCACCGAAATTCCGAAGTTTTTGATTAGTTTGTTGTATTGGCTTTATCTTCATATTTCTGCAAAACCACTTACGTTAACAGTCAGAATCCCTTTTGTTTCTTTACATTTATGTTTTTTTATTCCCTTTTTTTTTTGTATTTAAATTTTTAAAGTTTTTTTACAATATTTGAAAGAAAAATTTTTTTGTGGTAAGTCTTCTGCAACACTTTTTTTTTTTTTTTTTCAATTTGTATACGCTTCAAAAGTAGCTGCTTAGTGTGTTGTCGTGATCGTTAGTGTTTTTGTTGCTGTTATCGTTGTTGATGATGTTAGAACTGCAGCTTTTGATTGTGCTCGACACAGACACAGACAAATACAAGTAGACCCAAATCGATCATTGAGGATACGGAATGTCAACGGTGTTGTCAGGTGGGCACTAACTGGGTTTTCGTTTACGATTTATCCGGTTTTAATGGTTGCTAAAACTTTTGATCTGCAATCAAATAGCTGATACAATTGGGACCCCCCAAAAGATTCTGAGAGTTTAAAATTACAGTGTTTTTTTTTTCCTGTTGTTGTCACTGCTGCAGAAATGCAAATCATATTTAGTCACTTTTTTTTTGTAGTTTTAAAATTTTTTTAGTGAATCCTCAATTTAGTGAATTTGTCAAGTTACATTTAAACATGTTTTGTTTACATTTTTCAAGTTGAATCAATTCACACTGTCTAGTAGAAAAAAAAAATTCACAACTTTTTTAAACTGGTTTTTGATGAGTAAGAAAAAAATGGGTAAATAAACTACAGAAGTAATCTTGTACATAGATTTATCTATAAAAAGAATGAATCATTTTTTTTTTTGAAGTAGAAGAAGAAGGGAAAAAGGATGGAAAATTATTTATGTTTGTCTGATTTTTT